GTTAAACATCTAGCCGGTTTACCAGAGATAAAAGGCTATGATGAGAACTTGTGCTCGTCGAATGAAAATTGTAACAACAATTAATAATCCATTAATAAGTAGACCAACGGGAGATGATCCTGATATTTCTCAAGTAGACGTCCCTTGGAAATTACCATCTGGTGAACAAATCTTCGACAATTTTTCATGGGACGATAATTTCTCGTCGCAGTTGGATTTTCAAGCTTGTGGAATTCGTGACTCCGATTTTGATTATTTCGGTGACACTGAATTGAATTCAGCCAACACGTTAGAGATGTGTAGTGAGCAATAAAATATGTACGAGGAGATATTCAAGACTTTACAGACTCCGAAAAGTTTCACTTGGTGCTCCTGTGGTTCGTGAGTAGGGAAAAAGACTCACCATTTGTTTCATTTGGCATGATTGGATAGGATGTTTAGGGAAAAAACTTGTGACTCTAAAAAAAAAATTAAACGTTTCGTAGAATTATACAAGTCCATGAGGCATGTTTTCGATTGATATGTGACATTTGTTGACGTCTGTGATCATTTATAACACGTAGAAGTGAGACTTAATAATGTGAAGCATGTGTTAATCAAAACTTAAATGATAGCTAAATGTATCTAATTTGGCATTCTATGAAATGTATGAGCACAAGGATATCAAAATCATTGTGACATCAAATATGTCATGAAACATGTGACTCGTAACTAACATGCTTTTGTGAAATGTACTTGCGTTGTGATTTGTTTATCTCTTAAAAGTTTGATTTTATGTTTATTGAGTATATTGAGACCATGTAACTATTGTGTTGTTTGAATGGTGTGAATTGACTCTTCATCGAATGAAAATTGATTAAACCTCTTTATATTAAGATGGATGCATTTTCGATAAATAACGACACAAAGGGAGAAAATACATCAATTTTAAAAAGTAATTTTAAGGACCATTTCAAAAAGGTAAAATAAATAGTTTACCAAATTTTGATAAAGTGACAATTAAAAAAGTGGCACAAATTAAAAGAAGTTACACAAATTAAAAAAGTGACAAATATTCAAAAAGTAACAAAATTCAAAAAAATAAGTTTGTCACCCCTTTTTTGTCACTAAAAAGTGACAAACACTCAAAAAGTGACACTCAAAAAAAATAAGTTTGTCACTATTTAAAAAAAGTAACAAACAGTAAAAAAAGGTGATAGAAAAAAGTTACAAACAATAAAAAGTGACACGTTTTTTGTCGATAAAAAAGTGTCATAATGTTTTAAAAAAAAGTAACGAACAATAATAAAAGATGATAGAAAAAAGTGACAAACACTTAAAAAAGTGACACGTTCAGGAAATATGTTTATTGGACACACGATTTTAGGTAGTTTAAATCGTCCAAAACATGTGCCCAAAAAAACTAAAGAACCTATTTTTCTAAAAACCTCAGGAACGATGCTACCGAAAAGTGGTCCACACTCGTGAAAAATGAACTCCCAAGCACTAAAGAGGCGTGGAAGAAGATTTCAATTTTACACTTGAATACATGTGGCTAATTATTCAATTTCATATCCAATCAACCAATTGATTCGGAATATACCTACAAGATTTAAGTTCTTCTAGAATCCATCTTTATACTTCAATAAATCAACTTTCGTAGAGCAAGTACAACTAAGCTTGATTACTGAATTTTCAGCCGAGCACAAAAAATACAAAAAAAGATCAACATATGAACTAAAATAAATTGTTCAAACTAAATCTCAAAGAAGTGGAGCCGTGGCGACTGGGGGGAAAAAAATGCTGCGGCTGTTGGCTGATCAGTGGAGCTTGAGCAGAAATAAATCTTCAACGTTGGGCAAGGGAATTTGAGGGCTGCCGGCGGCTACTAGAAGAGACAAACAGGTGAATTAGTGAACGGGTTTGGTTTGGAGTGAAGATTAGAAGTCTGGTCGAGGGGGGAAAAGATCAAGACAGTGGAGATATGGGTCATTTGCATTGGGTTTTGGGCAGTGACTCAGATGGTTTTTACTTTAACGGGGTTGGAGTCTTAGTTAATAGTTTATATTAGGATGTAATTACTACATGATCAAAATATTTAATTAGTTTAAAATGTATTAATC